ACAAATGCAAGTTTGCGATGTTCATCTCACACTCCTTCAAAGTTTGGGATATTTTTATTGTTTTTCCCTATTTTTTTTTTGGAATTTTATCAAACCAGACCAATAAGATTCTGAAGGATAAAATGTGGTGATATAGAACCCGAGTGATTGAAAACTATCAATAGAAGACCTAAAATAGTGATAAGTTCGTATTTCAACACGCATTTGATGCGTGTTGGGTCGGATTTTGATGGTTTTCCTGGCTTTAAGGCGTTGCAAGTCTCAATTTTAGCTCAAGTTGTGATTACCAGACGTTGGGTCGAGTTTTGTTGCATTTGGAGTCAAATTGAAGAAGTTAGAGTCCGGCAATCGGTGCTTGAAAGGCAATCGGGAAGAGTTTGAAAGCATTCAAGAGAGATTTGAGAGATTTGGAGGTCACCGGGATATTCATGACGAAATTTTGATGAAGAAACGACCTTTGGATTGTTCGAAGAAGCATCCGGGAACATTCGAAGCAAGAAAAGACAAGAATTGAAGAAGAAAAAGGCAGGCACGGTCGTGCTCGGCCTTAGGCACGCCGTGCCTGCCGTATTAGTGTACCTGGTCGCTGGAAAGGCAGGCACACCGTGCCTGGCCCTTAGGCACGGTCGTGCCTGCAGAAGAAACATGTACCTGGTTGCTGGAATGGGTCTGCTCCGCAGGCACGGTCGTGCCTGACCCCTGGGCACGCCGTGCCTGACCCCGTTTTTATTCTATTTCAACCCAAACTCATCCGTTTTCTATAAACAAGGCCTCCCTTCTCCTGTTTAAGGGTTACGAACATTACGGAGAGGCCTAAGGACGAATTTATTCATTGTTTTCTGCTATTTTAGTCCAAGACCCTTAGATTATTTGTAAGTTCATTCTTTTTAATTAATGACAATTAATTCTATTCATCTTAATTCTGTTGATTCCTCAACTATGAGTTGTGAGTAGTTTAATTAGGGATTTGAGGTTGATGAAGGGGTTAATCATGATGTATGGCTAGATTCTTGTTGGTTTAATTGCATGAATGTCGTTGAATTTGTGTTTGAATAATTTAACTGATATCTCTTGTGACCTAGATGGCCACCAGAATTACAATTGCTTGTAGAATAAGTTAAGAGAGATCTAATTTATTCTAGGACACCTTCACACACACTTAATCGTTCGCTAAGAGAATAGTAGCGATTAAGGGGCCGTAAGCTCGCTCGTCTTGGCAATAATTTAGGATCCTGTCGCATGAGAGATCAGCCTGGTCCCCTAAATTATTGTACTCTACGCCGCGAGAGCGGTAAGAACTTAGTAATGATTAGCTAGGCTCAATTAAATTAATTTCATGTAATTAAGCCTAATCTGCCAGAAATCTGGTTACCCCGGAATCAATCCTCGTTCCCTTCGTCGTTAATTGAGAAGAAAACTAATCTTTTTATTTTATTGCTCATTCGCATTAGTTTAATTTTCCAACCAACCAATCTCGCACAATTGCATTTTATTTTATTTATTTTCTTTTTAATCACTGAATTTAGTTAATTCTTGATTCTCTTTTGTCCGTCCATGTGGAGACGATACTCGTACTTTCAATCACTTTACTATATTTTTTAGTGCGAGGAAACTCACATCAAATAGCATGAATTTTAATATTTTTTTATTTTAAACAATTAAATATTTCTAAATCTTATTAAACTAATAAACTTTTTGTGAAGAAAAAAAATGAAAATAGCAATAAAATTAATAATAAATTAAATAAATCAAAATATATGATATTTTAGGTTTTAGATTGATAGTTTTTAATCGGAATATTTTGACTTTGCACCCTGTTTTTTGGGTTTATTAGACTTTGCATCTCCATTTTTAAAAAACGTAGACTTGGCACCATGTTTTCCTTAAAAAGCCATTGACTTTGCACCTCATTACAAAAAAATCTTCACAAAATGTTGTATGATTGGGTGCACTATGTTTGTTGAAATGTAATGCAAAATCCTATATCACTCAAAAAGTGGAGTGCAAAGTCAAAATTCTTCTTTTCAATCATTTGGGTCATATACCGACATATTCTATCTTTCAATTCTCTTATCGAGTTATCGGTAATGGACTTGTCTTTCAGATAATGAATCAATAATTCTTTCTTAGTATTTCTTCTTTGCTACACATTGATAGCCGTTATATTTACTTGTGTTTAACATAAGTATTTATAAGTATTTGTTGAAGAAAAGAAGAGAAGTCGGGCAAATACCTCCAGAATGAGAGTTAGAGCATAAAATATTGCGATGAACGGCTTTTTGGACCAAGAGAATGACGTTCTGCACATAATCCGAGTATAACTTATTGTAGAGAACTCGAAATCACTCGATTCGAATTTCATGTGAATGGTAACTCAATACGGTACAGATTTTATGAAGACGTCATGGCCAGAATATGAAAGAAACAAGACTCAATCAACCAATAAAGTCAGATGTTGCTGGTGGGATTTCAGGATGCATACCTCTCAGTGTTTTATCCATAACTATTGATTGGATGATTAAAATCACTTCGTTCAAGTCTTGGTGGATAGAAGACTTCATTAGCTACAACTTTGGTGAAGGATTCATGTCCAAATTCGTAGCGGAACATCCCCAAAATCCTAGGTCAAAACCGGCGCCTGAATTTCACCAAAACGGCGCCGATTGCATTTAATCTGCCATTTTCCCATTCCCGGAAGTATAACCGACGCCGATCCACGACTATAACCGGCGCTGGTTAAGCCCGAATCTGCATAATACAAAGAGACGTGCAACCATGTCTTGATGGGAAAAAAACCACTTTCCTTATGATCTGATCAAATATTTCATCCATGCCTAATTGTTGGGCTTGAATGGACTAAAAGATGTCAATCTTTAGCCTATATAAAAAGCCCCCAATTCATCAAACAAGATCATCGTTCCATCCTTGAAACTTAAATTTCAGTTTTTATATTTTATTTTTGCATTCTCTTGAAGTGTTGGATAAGAAGCCATTTCTCTCCTCTACAATTGGTTCTAGGTACTATTTCTTGTATGTTATTGTATTTCCTTTATCTTAGCTATACTTTTGTAATTAGTATGAGCTCAAGGAGCTAAATTCTTAGCCAAAGCTAGGGATGAACTTCTATGCCCATTAGGTGTTTGATAAAAGTCCTAAACCAATAAATTGTGATTTATCCTTTATATATTGATTGTTTATGACTATGGTGTACAACATAAAAGTATGTTAAATTTAGTTTATACTTGCAATTAACGTTGAAGTCTAAACTACGAACATTAAAGGATAAACATATATATTACCTAGAATAGAAATATATCCGGTATTATATGATATGGGTGTGATGTCTTGATATTCAACGGGGTTTTCGGTAGATGAATGTAAGCCGTAACGGGACTTACACGTAACGAAAATCACGCTCTCGCTGCCTTAACCGGAGTTGAGAATATATTAGCGACATCGTATTCATAATTATTGGTAAAGAACTAATATTCAAGTATTCAACCCTATTAAAGCATTTAAGTGATTCCCGAAGCCTTAGTTGTTGTTATCATTCATCTTAAACTCAAAATTAATTAAAGTCATATCCCTGAAAATTGAAAAGAATAACCAAATTGTTGTTTTCACAACAACACACAAATTAAAATCCCTACACTTTACTCATTTATTTATTTAAAGTCATCTACTCTCGAACTAAATTAAACAACGTTTCCCCATGGATTCGACCCGGTATTTTACCGGAATTTATTACTATATAGGCACTTGTACACTTGCAAGTTTAGCCGGCCACACATGGAAGAAATGTCATTGAGATTAATTCAGTTGGATGAATATCATGAATTACAAATGAGGCTTTTATACTCATGAAGAAGAAAATGCTAGAATTTTGATAACACATATTTTAAACACATTTTCTTAAGGTCTAAATATGTTTTTAGTCCTTGCAAATATAGTACATTTTGTTTTCATCTCAGCAAAATTATGTTTTTGTTTTTCGTCCCTGCAATTTGTGTTGATTTTCTTTTTAATCTATCACCGATGATAACAATCTTCGCTTGATTTCAAAATAACCCCAATTAATAGATTTCTCTAATTGGTTGTCATGTTATTCAAAAAATATTTTATTTTTATTTTTCAGAAGGTTTTTAATATATATTTTTAACACAAATGCTAAAGGTACCCCATTTCGTACCTCATTTGTACCTCACCCCCTATGTTTGTGGAGAAAAACTGTATTGACAGAGTGAATACGTATAAACTGGAGGGGAATTATATTTATTGACAGGCCTGGGTTGCGGTTAGCAATGCATTTGGATTATATTTATTTTTATTTGCAATGCATTTGCATCATTTAAAGTTTGGATTATGTATGTTGCTTGAATTGTATTAAATAAAATATATAATTCAAGTATCTCTCATCTTATTGGATCGAGTAAAAATATTGTGAGGCTAAAATTTTATATAGTTAAAATTAATAGTAATAGTATTACTTTTTCATAAAAATGTAGACATTTATCATCATGTTCATTGTCCTATCTATTATCAAGTGTGTTTTGTTTTTAAAAAATAAGTGATTGTGTCTTACTCATTATATTATGATGACGTTTGTTTCTTTTTGGTAGCTTTACTTGTCATATTATATTTAATATGTAGTATGTATTATACTCCGTTTATTTTTATTCTAACTTTGAATTTTTCTGTTTTCAATAAAATCTTCCATTGAGAAAGTAAGGTTATTATATATTTAAAGTTTTAAATAAGCACAAAAATATCATCAATGAAGAAAACTAATATTAGAACTTAAAAAAAAAACCGGTGAACTGGCCCGGAATCGGAATCGGAACCAGAACACAATCGCTACTATGTGGTTCCGGTTCAAGTTTTAGGTTTTGAAGAACCGTGAATCGGCAGTCCGGTTCCGGTTCCGATGTGATTCCGAATCGGGGAATCTAAACATATCTATATAGAATCATTCTCTTTAGTACGTTTTGATCCTTTCCACCTTTTCATTTAAACATAACATAATCATACACCTTTGTACACAACTAAGGCCATGGTAGAACGGGGAGTATAAAAAGAGAAATGTGATTTGGGGTTATCTCCCTGTTCACAATTAAACAATGCAAACTGTTCGGCGCAATGCGAAAAGCCTAGGAACCTAATGGATTGTTGGAGTGGGATTTACTTATTAGAGTTTGAGGCGTTAGATATGAACCCTAACAACCCTGAAGAACGAAAAAATACATACGCATACTAAGTTTTCTGTCTCCGTTCAAGCTCGTCTTCGCGTAGTATTTTTTTTCAAGTTTCCATTTCACAATGGGAATCAAGGTACCTACCTATAAACGGACTTGAACGCAAAATTATCAAAATGCACTAGTATAACTAACTCATTTATAACCTGAAATTATGAACAATTCAGGGTTTAATGAAGCTGTTGGCAGACAATGCTCCCAAGGCCATGAAAGAGCAGAAATTCGAAAGCTATTTTGGTCGCAAAATAGCTATTGACGCCAGTATGAGCATCTATCAATTTCTTGTATGTATTCTTTCTGTCACCAATTACAGTATATGTGCATGCATTTCTGCATAGATATGCAGGTTTTATATGTAAAGTGTTTTGTGAACATTATGCATAGATTGTGGTGGGACGAAGTGGGTCTGATATGCTCACAAATGAGGCTGGTGAAACTACGAGGTAACCTTTCCTATGTCCTTTTTTATGGATAATGTGATTTTAAAACTACTTAAAATTGGATTTTGTCTGTATGATTTGAAAACTGCCATATCTTGTTGTGGCGAACAATGCAATGCCATTATGTTCGGTTCTTTATAGTATAGAGCAGATACTGATATATTTTAGGGAAAATGGAAACTAATAATCTAACCTTTTAGCGGTCTTCTTACAATAGTCCCACCTTTTGATTATTCATGAATAATCCAACCTTTGCACCTCATCTTCATTCACTGGTCCCTGACCGGTTGATGACCTACTATTCCAAGTTATTTTCTTATCTTTGCAAACCATTATACCATAAATCTCACCTTTCACAAAGATAATATTTTGCAAAGATAAGAAAATAACTTGGAATAGCAGGTCATCAACCGGTCAGGGACCAGTGAATGAAGATGAGGTGCAAAGGTTGGATTATTCATGAATAATCAAAAGGTGGGACTATTGTAAGAAGACCGCTAAAAGGTTGGATTATTAATTTCCATTTTCCCTATATTTTATGATTTGTGTAATGATCTTATATTCTTAACCAAAATATTACTAACATGCTCTATATAATTGATTCCAGTCACTTGGTTGGGATGTTCTCTCGGACAATTAGGCTTTTGGAAGCCGGTATAAAGCCAGTGTGAGTTATCACATTATATTTCTTGCAGGCTTGTATCACAGGTAGTAGTAATATTGAATTCTTGCCTTACTTTGGATTCTCTTACCTTTGCATGTCAGATATGTTTTTGATGGGAAGCCTCCGGATTTGAAGAGACAGGAGCTCGCAAAGCGGTAGTGTAAATCTTTCTGTACTTGGAAAATTGAAACTGGACCTTTATTTGTCTTCATCGATTCACAGTTGACATTATATTTTTTATGCAGTTACTCAAGAAGGGAAGATGCAACAGCTGGCCTAGCGGCTGCAGAAGAGGTTAAGTAATAAAAGGAATAATGCCGTGGCAATAAAAGGGCATTTCTTCTGTCTTTTCCATAACCTGCAGGCACTTTGAGGGAGGGGAAAGAAATTGATAACCTCCCAAGATCTGCATTAACATTGTGCTTTTAATCACTAATTGCAGACTGGCAATAAGGAGGACATTGAGAAGTTCAGCAAAAGAACCGTAAAGGTTGGTTCTTTTATGTCTTGCTGCTTATTAAGTATGAACATAACCTTGGGTATTTTGTCATTATACTTTTTCAACTGTGGAGTGCTGTATTACAAGAGTTGTTTTCTGCTATCTTTGTTACATGACTTGCTTCATGTACTTAAATATTTGTTTGTCCTAGCTTTTTTTTTACTCCAAAGCAAGAAGTTGAGTCAAACATTTGAAAATCTTAAAAGGCTGTAAGACTTCTGTCATAGGAAATAACCTCCTTTTCTGAAGCTTCAAAGTTAGAGGCTTCTGTAGGGAAAAAAAGAAATCCAAGATGCTCAAGTTTGGCTAACCGAGCACTTCGATTTTATGACCACTTATGGCTAAGTGATCCCAAACCTCTTCTTGAGTTATGTGTACGTTGTGAAATAACTTGCCTAATGATATTTTATGCTATTTCATGTTATATTATCAGATTTGAAATAGAAATTATGCAGATGACACTTGCTGAGAGCTGTAGAGGTCTTCCGAGTTCTGAATAGGCTTACTTACTAAAAGTGAGATTAAGAGAGCTATGTTAAAATAAAAAATCCCCTAAACTTTTAATATAACATTTTAAAGTGCTGTTCAGTGTAGACTGCGTGGACTTTGAACTTTCAACTCAAATCAGGAGCTCTTGATGGTGTGATTTAGCCAGTAAAACAAGCATTTTTATTAATTGTAACTGAAATGTTAAAGAAACACAATACATTATAATATAATGTTACAATGCATGGACTTGGATCTGCAGGTTACACAGCAGCACAATGATGACTGCAAAAAACTTCTTAGAATGATGGGAGTACCGGTAGTTGAGGTGACAACATAATTTTTAGCTGTTTCATGGTTTAATGTATTTTCCATACAACTCACCTTAACGTTCTTTGATATTTTTTTGTAATTTGTTATCTCACATTTCTCTCAGGCTCCTTCTGAAGCTGAGGCACAGTGTGCTGCACTATGCAAGGCTGATCAGGCAATTGTCCTACTTTACTCTTTACATGAAAATGCTCAGTTCCATTATCTTTCTAGTCTAGGGTAGTAAAGTAAAATTAGTAAGTAATTATAGTTAGGAATTAGTCATGGGTTTCGTGTGTCAAAATTGAGTGATATAAAGGTTCTTGATCCTCCAGGCTGTGAAATGATTTTGGGTTTGCAGAAGGAAGTTCATTTACTGAACATATAATATAATGTTTAAAAGGAAACAAACATTTTCTGACATTTTGTATGTATACTACATTGTAATTCTGAATTAGCTATAGGAGAAGGAATGAATTTTTACACATTTCAGGTTTATGGTGTGGCCTCAGAAGATATGGATTCCTTAACTTTTGGAGCTCCAAAGTTTCTTCGCCATTTGATGGATCCTAGCTCCAAAAAGATACCTGTAATGGAGATTGAAGTTTCAAAGGTACTGATTTCACTGAAAAATTACTTGTGTGCTAATATGAAATTGACTTTTATTTACTGCCTCTATTTCAGGTCATAGAGGAATTAGAACTTACAATGGACCAGTTCATTGACCTGTGCATTCTATGTGGATGTGACTATTGTGATAGCATACGTGGTACCTAAATACTTTTGGATAACTGTGTCCATATATCTTTAATATTTTTACATTTGAAATTCGTCATGAGTATTACGGCATTACCTAGATGCTGTATGATTCCAGAATAAACTCTAACGCAGGTATTGGGCCGCAAACAGCTCTGAAGCTTGTTCGCCAACATGGCTCGCTAGAAAGCATATTAGAGAATATTAACAAAGAAAGGTGCTTCTCATCTTTTAATGTGTGAACTATCTATCCAGAAGTAAAGTTTGAGATAAAGTGGAAAGTTTTCTTTTTGATATGATATCCTATAAGAGCAATATGTGTGACTGTTTCATATTATAGCTATTATTACCTTTTGGAGGGTTCCCCATGGACTCAAAAACATGAGGCAGAGTATGCTGACATTTATCATTTGACTACAAAAGTAATCATTTGAAAGATGCCTTACATGTGAACTCAGCAATGTATAGGCTGAAATTAAACTCAAACTCTTTTGTTGTTCTACTTTCCTATACTGTGCAATATACTTGCAATATTTATGCTTATGAGAAAACATAAATATTGCATATATTTGAAATCTAATTTCCTTTCAACATTTTTGTAATCTTTATGCAGATATCAGATACCAAATGAGTGGCCATATGAAGAGGCTAGACTTCTTTTTAAGGATCCATTAGTCCTAAAGGGCGATGATCAACCGGAGCTTAAATGGGGTGCTCCAGATGAAGAGGTGGTTTTATTTCTTTGAAACTTCAGTTCATTTAATCGAAATGACACTCCAGGTCCTCCCGTTATACATTAACAACTGACTGAACCCTTCCGCTATAAGTGCTTCCATGGCCCCTCAATTGCCAGCGAAGTAGCACTTTGACTCTTTACTTGAGGAAAACACTAAAATTTTATCAACATTAAACAAAAACACATAACTGAAACACTTACAACACCTATACTTTTCAATTGACTAAGAAATAAAATTAGATACTATAACATGTTGTGAATTGTGTGTTTAAACTTTAAACTAAGTTACAGATTTACAGATATGTTATACTTTATGTTCTCCCCCTTTTTATTATTTCAAGATCTTCCACATTCTTTGTTAGAGAGAGTTACCTTCCTTGATAGAGTTTAACTTCACAACTCATTGCAACTATGTTTTTCAACAGTTCTTGACTTCATTAAAACTCTTTTTTTAAACTTCCTTCTTGTTGAAGCACATAGAAATGCTGCAAGGCTGTTGTACATTTATTGCAAGGTATAAAGTGACCTAATATAGCATGAAATCATGAACATGATGTTGAAATTTTTGAAACCAAAAACTGGAATCCACTTGAATGCGAACATTTGGTCCCTTATTGGAACACCCAGAAACTTGAGCACTTATGATGCCCCCATTAGGTTAATTTAACAATTTTGCTCTCTTCAGTCTTCTTTGAAGCACTTAACATGTTTGGTTCCTCCATTGGGATTTTTGAAGGCTTGAACACTTCGGCACTTTGCTTCCCTCATCGGAGCACTCTTTAAGGCATATTTCTTTGGTGAATTCTCATCAATGTTGGTCAATTGAATGTTAATTCCATTCAATGTAGTCGCAAAACCTCAATTTTTTTTTGTCAGGATGCCGTTTTGAGGTGAGAGGGGCCACAAAGGTCACCAAGAAAACACTCTAAAAAATTGAAAACCACTCTTAGCTTTGCCGTTGTTCAGGTGACAGGCTTTGATACCATTTTGAGATACTATTTTACTATCACAACACTGGATTTTTATTAATATTACTAAAGAAAATATAACTCATATACATACTACACTCTACTTCTCAAATGACTAAAACCCGTTCCTATGGTATTAAAACTGGGTCCTCTAATGTGTTGTGTTCTGGTATTAGCTAGTTAATATACTTGTATACAACTGTATTGGACTTAACTTCCACTGTCGTTGTTGGAAAAGCCTTCCAGTGTTGTACAACGGGCACCTGAATAATCCAATTTCTTCTTTGAAATGGTGAAAGAATAAAGATCGAACTCAAATGGGGTTTAACTTGAATGGTAGTTTTATGTTTTCATTTTGAGTATGAATACACTATCATTTTGATGCCGAGGTTTATCTTTAACGTTGTTGCATTCATTCAAATAGTTGAATCTGTACGAATTTTATCTTTAAATTTGGATAAATGATAAGGAATTTCATGGTATTGTAAGAAAGAACACAATTACACAAATGATAAAAAAAACTGTATTGGACTTTGTAGGCCCGCCTACCCTTTGTACGACATCCATTTTTTCTTAGTATCAACACCCTCCAGTCCTTGTTAGAATGAGGATTACTTTCCTCAATAGTGTGATGGTGACAACTTTACAACTCATTACATTTTTGTTTGTTAATACTCTATAAGGCATGTTATGTAGTTATAGCTCTATTTTAACACACAGCACCCCTAATAGATGAATATCAATTTCAATTTGTCTTTGTTTAGTACATGGAATACGGAGTAATGTGAATCCTCTGGGGGGTAATGTAGAGTGACGCGGAAATAGGGAAAATTTCCAAGTATTGGCTTGTATACAATGAAGAAGTTTATCATGCCTGAAGAACTTGTAGGGTGCATAGACAATTGGCAATCGAGTTATCTATGTCAATCCACAATCTTTGATTGTTAATTGACTTGATAAAAACTAGAGTATTTGGGATTCTAGTAAACATCTGCAAATCTAAAATCCTGAACCAACACATCACATGTTCAAAATATGTGAAGGTGAGCACATATCTTATGCAGCCTTGTTTAGGTGTGTAAACTAGGGTAAAAAAGGAAACCAAACACTGATGTGATTAAATGGGTCCCCAAACTAATGAGAATAAAACAACTATAAACTAGGGAAAGTGATAACATAAATTTATTTAGGAAACATATATTAAGTAAGTCCATGCTAATAAGGGTCCAGTGACCGCTCACAAGAAGCATCCAATGCAAGATGGGCAAGCATTTTGTCTAAGACTCCAAGTATGTAGCCTCGTGCAGTCGTGCCTTGCTTGAACATGCGAGTCTTCAACTATCTCCTCAAAGCCAGTTTGTGCACAATTTAATGTATTTGACTCCTCTTGTTGGGATTCCTCGTGAGAATATATCAATTAGGTCATAGGGACTTAATCGGATTAATAGGTCTACATAAATCTAATAATTCCATTAAAATAAATTTTTAATCTCTTTGGTCATAGATTATGTACTTGCCTCAATAGAGATGTTTAAATATCATGATTTTCATGGACCTTGTCTAACCTTAAAAATTGGCTAAATTTCGAGCTCTTAAGAGCACACAATCTCAAATCTCATTGTGTGTCAAAAGACAATCTTACAAGTTGGAGTATGTAAGTATTTACATATTGAAATTGCATAAAATCTTAGGACTCTCCTCCTAAACATTTGAGTTAGTCAATTTCACTCGATGTTGTAGCAGTGAATAGCAAAATTAGAAGGAAACATGGAATCATGATGTTTTGGCTTTTAATCATAGAATTCCAGGAGAAAATAAGTGAGTTTTGCTCAATATGTAATATTATCAAATATCGTCATCATACCTATCCCAACTATATCAGGCCACAACAACAACAACATCTATATCAGGCCAATGACATGAAATTTAAATTGTCAAATAAATATATAGATCCAGCTAACACCATATCTTCATTAAAAAACTCACAATTTTATTTCAGATGTCTTATTTGCTGCAACTTGGAAACATTTTTCGAAGGAATACTGAGATGAAATTCAAAAACCATGAATTCAGGATGGTTGATAATGTTTTCACTGGTGGGGGTGGAAACAATTTACATTTAGGATGGCTGATAATGTTAATGAGATGAAATTTCAAAACCTTATGATAGCTGATAATGTTTTGCATTTTGATCAAAATTGCCCAACAAAATGTGGAGGAACACATACTGACTAAGTCGGCTATTGCTATTGTAACATATTGAGGGACCAGAAATGTCATTTAAACTTTTCATCTGTTTTCACTGTACTGGCAATTATGTAAACAGTTTTTTTACTTGGCTTTTTTTCTTTATTATCTTTTAGGGTTTGGTTGAATTTCTGGTGAACCAAAATGGATTCAACATTGACAGAGTTACAAAGGTGTGAATATTATCAACTGCTCATGTTATGTGTATATACTTGTACACAAAATAGAAAACAAATTCTGTTGAGTTTGTTTCTGAAAGTCCTTAAAATCTATCATGGTCTTTTTTAGGCAATAGAAAAGATAAAGACAGCCAAGAATAAGTCATCTCAGGGGCGGTATGGCTTGCTTGCTTAAAGGGAACAATCTTTCAGTTTTTGTTTTATCTGCCATGATAATATGCTAGTCTCTACCTCCTGACCAGGTTAGAGTCATTCTTCAAACCAGCTGCTAGCATATCAGTACCGGCCAAAAGAAAGGTACTGCCGTAACGTTTGTGTTAAGAGCTTTTTCCTTTAAAAAACAAAATAAAATTAACTGTAATGTTTGAAAGAGACAGTAGTCAATTTGAATGTGTGCATCTGGACGTTTTGAGTTGTATGAAATCTTCGTACTCCTGCTTTATATATTGCACAGTTCCATGTAATAATGAGAAAAGTTTGAACACTTATGCTGCTATGCCCGTGCCAGTGTCTGAGGGCCTTCCTATGTCACCAATTATTTACCCTTTATCTGCCTCATCTGGGATTGAGAGAATTAATTTAATAGCATCCACCTTTTCATCCCACTATTCCTTTCCTCTTCAGTTTGTGAATTTTGAATCTTTCTGTTTGTTATACACTTGCACTACAAACTAAGTTATTTTCTTGATTTGCCCTCTGGTTCTACAATTTCTGTCGACATTGATTTATGCTTTTGGAGGAACTACTATCTTGTGACAAAAAATCATGAGTTGTAGGAGAGTGGTAAAGTCACTCGCTTGTAAATACCTGAAAGAAATTCAAATTAGAAGAATATGCATTCCTGTTGGACATCTTTCTATTTTCCAAAGCCTAATTGAAATGGAAAATTAGAGGATCCATGTTCTGTTGTTAATTCTACATGTGTATGTTTTCTTAACATCTCCTATATTGGCATCTCAGGGAAGAACCAGATGTGTTCTTGTGTCTTCAATTCCTGTAACAAAGTTTAGAATGTTCTCTATACAAGCTTCCTTTATGCCCATGGGTCTTTTGCATCCTAATCTCATGGTCCTTAGATTTGATCATTCAAGTTTTAACTACTCCTTGCTGTATAACAAAGGTGTCTGCTTCAGCATATGAAACTGTAAACCCTGACGACCCTCCATCTTAAGTGCATCTTTGGCTAAGGATATACAGTCTTCATTAAGGCTGTACTGGCTATACATACTGCTAACTTACTATTAACTACTGTTGCCAATGCTTTTGATTTTTGAAGTACAAATACCATGCATGATTGTATTTTGAGTTTGGACTCCTTGATAATGTTTTCTGAACTACTTGATCTCTTTTAGAACCCCTAACATATACTGGGTAAAAGAAACTAGGAAGAGAAGTGTTGAGCAAATTTGGATCGAAAGAAAATTTGAGGAAAATAGAAACATTAGTTCAAACTCAGTTAATTTGATTTTAAAATGGTTTGAGTTCAGTTATATCTATCAGTTAAAACAATATAAACATTTATAAATTTAAAAAATCATATTTCATTTTCCTTTGCATTTGACTTCCTGCTGAGGTAAATCAGGACACAATAAAACCACTTCCTTTGGTATTTTATTTCCTTCCCGTAGCATTTTCTGCGATCTAAATATAGCCTTGCTTATCTGGATCATGCCTGATATGATCTATGTTGGAACACTCAATCTTAGTTATCTAATCAATTGATGTCCTATTCAATGGCAGGAAACAACCCAGAATGCTGAAAAAGGAGTGGCAAACAAGAAACCAAAAGCTGTTGGGGGTGGGAGGAAGAAGAAGAAATAGTTGGTAGTAAACTGAACAAGGGTGATGCTTTTGAAAAGGTGATATGGATTCACCAGATATGGCTTGATTTGGAAGTCATACTTGAAATGGATGTGTTGAGGGCCAGTTAAATTAAGTTGCCAACTGCTCCCAACACCATAATCTAACCTGCGGATTTATTGTGCTTGATTTCCTCTCTTTCTTTAGACAAGCACTGTAATTTCGACCTTCATGTCTTGAAGCATATTAAGTTGCTAACTATTAACTAATGATAACTATCCACAAAAAGTAAAACCTATACATGTACTTTAAAGGAAGGGAAAGGGAAAATATTTTTTTATTACGGAGTATTACGCAATCTGAATTAATCTGAATTTGGTACAGTAAACTTGGTGAAATAAATATTCTTAAATTTACATAAAATTGATAAAAGCTGAATTTAGAATGGTTATTTTGGTTAATTAAACAGCTGGTCGGGCAATTAGATCAATTTAAAGTTCAATTATTTCCATTAATACTAAGGGAATATTGGAGCTTGCACAGTTGCACCCAAATTGCTTAAAATATTTGAGAATGCATGAAGGCGTCAATGCAATTCTCTCGAGTCTTGAGTCTTGAATCTCTTGATGCTTTGGACAAAATATTTGCTTTTAGTATTTTAGGAATGTCGGAAGGCATTCACCACTATCACCAGCATTTTGTTGAGGCTTCGAATGGAATGTAAGAATTATTCAGAAAATGGACCCACCCCCCTTCAGCCCCATACCCCCAAAACACCTAGCCCAACCTGGGAGAAACAAAAAAAATTGAAAAAAAGCCCGGATCTGGCGCGGCCGGACCGGTTCCGATTTTAACAGACCTGAGCCCACCTCAAGTAACCACCGGTTCGGGCCACCCGGACCGGTCCTATGACTGGTTGCCGGGCCGGGTTCAAACCATATCGGTCCGGGCCGGGCCACGGGCCGGTTCATATCGTGGCTCGATACCTAATAATAGAAGACCAAATTCAATGTTCTGCTTGATAGATTAAACAGTCTCCATGAAGGAGCCATTAGTACGCAACGAACTACTCCGTAATACTTATGTTCATATTTAATTCATAATATGAATTATTCATTTTTTAGTTTATTAAACTGTAATAATTAGCCTACTTATGTTTCAATACTCTCTCCATTTGCTAGCCAACCACCTCACTTATAAGAGAGGCATCCTGCTCTTATTTAAAGGCAAGCTTTTCTAGGACAAAAATATCTGATTACCTCTTTGTGCGACATACTATATCAACAGAAGAAATTATCTTTCAACATTTTATTATTCTCATTGTCATATAAGTTTACAATTAATTTAAGAGTTTTATGTTAAGTATCCCTTAAAATTCAACATAGTAGTACACTAGTACATACTACATACTCCATAGTAGTTTATAGGAGAGTGGTGCCTATGTATCTGACTCGAAGTTTAAAGAATATAACATTAGTGACGTTATAAGTTACTACGGAGTAACTCGTTTATGAGAAAACAGACAAATAAGCTTTCGAACTATTTGCGTTTTTGCAATCAGGCCCCTGCACCGGAAGAAGTACAAATAAACCCCCCAACTCATTGAAATTCAAACAATCAGGTCTTCTTTTACCCGCTGGTGCAGGTAAGGAGATGAGAAACTACCGACACTAGCGGGTAAAAAAGGTCCCGATTGCTTGATTTTCAATGACTTGAAGGGTGTATTTGTACTTCTTCCGGTTCAGGGGCCCTGATTGCAAAAACGTGAATAGTTTGGGCAATTTATATCCTACACCCGGATGTATAGGTACATCCGGTATTTTTTGTAAATATGTCAACTTCAAGCCTCGGAATTAGCAGGTTCGTTCCATCCTTTTCTTCTTCCGCCGCATTCTCTTTCCTTTCTTTTCTTCCGGCGTTCTCTTTCCTTTCTTCTCTTCCGGCGTTCTCTTTCCTTTCTTCTCTTCCGGCGTTCTCTTTCCTTTCTTCGCTTCCGGCGTTCTCTTTCCTTTCTTTTCTTCCGCCATCCTCTTTCGGTCTTTCCTTTCTTTTCTATCTTCTGTAGTTCTGCCGCCATCCATTCTGATTTTTGATTGTTACGTTTTAGTGTGTTGTCTTTTTGTTTTTTGTTATTTTTTCTTTACTTTTACTGCTAGCTATTTTACTTTCATTTATTTTGTCTTTTACTTTTTTACTTCTTTTCGTTTCTTTATTTGTTGTTTAATTTTTCTTTTTTATATATTATACTGAGCACATTATAAATGAGTTTTACCTTAAACTTAAATGAGTAAAACAGCTAAAAAATGAACATACATAAACAAGCTTTTGAATTTTTGAATATTCATTTTGTAAATTATGCATATTCATTTAGTATCTCGGTTATGCTCATTTTTAAAATGTTTTAGCAATGCACATTTCAAAAGTCTCATATTACATAAGATTTATATAAGAGTTGATTATACACACGAGACCACAAATCTTGATACTCAATCGCAGATTCTAATACTCAATAACAGAGGTTTGATGCTCACCGAAAATGTCTTGATGCTCAACGAATAAAACTTGCAATTTTCATATCAATGCTCATCTTGTAAATTACATATGCTCATTTGTATAGGTCTGGTGCTCATTAACAATTCATTAATGCTCATTCAATAGAATTCATGATTTTCATCAATCTCAATAGACGATGTTTGATACATATGCTCATTTGAGACTGATCATATGCCCATTTTATAAATGTCATATCCATCCATTTTAAAAGTACCACAGAGTATTTTATATTAGACTCCTAATACTCAATATAATAGGTTTGATGCTCATTAAAAGTTCATTATTACTCATTCTCCAGAAGTTGTGATTTTCATCTCAATAGTGGAAGTTGATGCTCAATTAAAATGTCATGATGTTTAACTAACAATTTTAACCATTTTCATATAATATGCATTTATATAGGTCTGGTGCTCATTAACAATTCATTAATGCTCATTTAATAGAATTCATGATTTTCATCAATCTCAATAGACGATGTTTGATAAGTATGATTTTCTTGAGACTGATCATATGCTCATTTTATAAATGTCATATCAATCCATTTTAAAAGTAATACAGAGTATTTTATATTACACTCATAATACTCAATATAATAGGTCTGATACTCATTAAAAGTTCATTATTACTCATTCTCCAGAAGTCGTGATTTTCATCTCAATAGTGGAGGTTGATGCTCAATTAAAATGTCATGATGTTCAACTTACAAAGTACACATTGATATGAAAATCGCAAGTTTTTTTAATTTAATATCACGAAATTTTAATTGAGCATCAAATATCCGTTATTGAGATGAAAATCACGGTTTCTGGTAAATGAGCATTAATGAATTGTTAATGAGCATCAAATCTATTATGTTGAGTATTAGAAGTCTAATATTCAGAATCGTGATCTTTGCTTCATAACTTCTAATTCACTTTCTTTTTGTTATTTTTCCCTTTTTAAAAACTTATTAAATTATATTTCTAATCAACTCCTATGAAAATAGTACTTTAAAGCAAATGCATTGATATGACATTTAGAAAATAAGCATAAGATCAGTACCAGATGAGCATACGTAACTTACAAAATAGTTTGATTTGAAAATCGTAAAGTTTGTTAGTTTGACATAACAACATATTCATTGAGAATCAAACCTCATCTATTGAGATGAAAATCACAATTTTTGTTAAATGAGTATTAATAAACTTTTAATGTGCATCAGACCTGTTATGAGTATTAAAACACTTTCGATGAGCATCAGGCTTATTAGGAACCTAACAATATATAATAAAATTATAAATATATTTGTATAAATTAATAGTATGATTCATAGATAAAATAAATACTTCAAAAATATGAATTAGTCTTTTAATATAGTTACAATGAGCAAAAGAAAAGAATAGTTAATATTAACACAATTGTAGTACGGAGTATGAAAATGTATAGAATAAGGAACATCAAACAACAGAATTTCTCAACCAGGCAAGATGGCGAGATGGATTGGAGGCCGCATGCTATGTTCCAGTTCTAGGGATCGAATCCATCTCACATTTTTTTTTAATGAAAGAATCCAGTTCCCAAGTTCGAGTTTGGTAATAAAAAATCGATTTACTCAGTTTTAAAAACCGGATGTACGTACACCCGGGTGTACAATATAGGCACTCGAATAGTTTGAGGGTTTATTTAGCTGTTTTCTCCTCTCTTTTTGGAAGATACAATAATTGACTTATACAATATTTGATTTGAGAAAAAGCCGAATCTCCAAACTTGGTAAAGAAATTAAAGTTGAAGATAAAAATTAAATAAATTACTCTCTCCATCACTTTGATAATTTTCATTTTTTGTCTCAAAAAACTTTGTGGCTTTCCTTTTGAAATAACAAATTTATAATTTTGTTCATTTATCATTCTTTTGCACAAATCTCAATCACATCATTTTTATTTTTTTATTTTTAATTTTCCATCCGATTAAATTTAGGAATTTCCAAAGGTTGTACACTCTCTACGTTATGATTCAAAAGTTTCTGTTTCATCTTTCCCCTTTTCCAAAAAAAGTTTCCGTTTCAAAACCAATCAATGTCAACCCGGAAACCGGAATTGCGTCAGCATTGGGTGTCCACTTATCCTTATCTTTCGAGAATGATCTGGCCCGTTACGTCTCTGGCGGTGCGATGCCTTCTCCATCAGTCTATATTTTCACTGCTTCAATTGACTCTCCCCATCCCCTGCTTATTCATCTGCGCAGAGAATATCATCTCCATTCAGAATTTCTGATTAAAAATGGCGGAACCAAAGATCTTTGAACTAAACAATGGCACCATGCAAGTGAAAGTCTCCAACTTTGGGTGCACTATTCTTTCCTTGTCTGTACCAGATAAAGATGGTACCATTTAAAAGAAAAAAGCTTTCAGATTTCTTCTTTGATGTACTGTTTTGTTAGACACAATTTTGATTTTATGTCTTGTTGGTCTGGGCTGTGAAGGGAAATTGGATGATGTGGTGCTTGGATTTGATACTATTGAACCCTACACGGTGAGTCAGTGAGTGATGTTTCAAGATCATCCATTTTTACGAAACTACCTGATTTGATTCTATTGTTACTTACTGATCTGTGTTCTTATGATAGTGAGTTTTGATTTGTCGATTGACTGTTTCATTGATATGGTCTTTTGTTTGATTTTTTTTTATTTTCAGAAAGGAGCTGCACCCTATTTTGGCTGCATTGTTGGCCGGGTGGCCAATAGGATCAAAGATGGGAAGTTTACTCTTAATGGAGTTGAATACTCTATTGCT